CACATTTAAAACAACACATGGTATGTAATAATTCTGGAGTGCTGAGACCAGCTGTAGAGACAGCCTTGTTCTTAACAGCCAATACAAACAAAATAAAATAATTACTAGGCATAATGATCATTAATGTACAGATCTAAACCTGCCAGACACAGGCTTACCAGGGCACTAAGTTCCTGAAAGAGATAGTTAGGCATAGATCAGCAAATGTGCTCCCTGCACACATTATTTGCACATTTTATGCTCACAGTATTCCTTAAATACTAATATCTTTTATGTGCTTGTGCCAGCTACAAACTATAATCGTGCATGATATAAAGCCATAAGAGTAGGTCCAAAAAGAAAAAACAAACCCCATCAACACAACCCCATTGAAGTCTGTGGATAAACAGTAGAAGTCAGGAGTCTTTAGGTTAGCTATTTAGTGATGGGACACACAGAAGAAGTAGACCCTAATAACTGTCAGTGTGTGTGTATTTCTGGAACTTTCACTTGGTCCTTCTTTATGGGGAGAATAAGGAGGGGGGGGAAGCAACCAAGAAAACTACAATTTATATACACAAAAGAGTAATAAACAGTGGACATCCCGCTGGGAGAACAGAGAGATTTTAAATATGGACCAGATGCTTATCAGATCCCCGCAGAATTTATAATAGAGTCGTTCTGTTGCTTTCAGTAGATCTGCTTACATTCATCATTGAGTTTTCTGCATGATACTTGGATTGTTCTTGATTTCTGTAGATTTTGTATTAAGGAGTTACTGGAAACAATGCTTGTGCAATAACACCTTATATGACTATATCGGAATATTTTTAGAAAATAAATTTGTAACTGATAAACTTTGATATTAACCACAGAAACTAAAAGTTAGACTAACCTCTGTACCAGACACAAGCAGTTTTCCATCAACTAGGTGTGCAATAGAAAGAATGAAAACAGATTTGATCTCAAATATTCTTACTGGAACTACCAAAGATTATTATCTACTGAAATTTTACAGCCCATAAATTTTAATGTTGAATCTGATTTTAAAAGCCAAAAACTAGTCCTTCGGCAATCCAGCTGCACAAAAGGCTCAAGTCATCATTAATGAGCAGAGGGGTACACACTGTCCTTCCAAACAACATTTGGATTAAGGTAATTCTTTTAACACAGCTTCAATTAAGACTGGTGAAAGGGCTGAGCTGAATTCGTAGTAGCCTTGGCACCCTTTGCCAATGCCAAGGCTTTTGTAGATGCGTCAGCAGAAGGAGATGTTAAGGAGACAGCATTTTATGGATGCTTGCAGGGAGCTTCTCCTATCACATGGGAAAACCTAGGAAAAAGCCCAAAGAGGTTTCTTGGAAAACATGTCAGTGAAAGCTGCCATCATGGGCTATGAATGAGAGGAGAAACAGGTCATGTAGGTGAATCCAGGAAAACATGTGCGGTAAGGAAGAGGCCATGAAGCTGCCATCATGGGCTATGAATGAGAGGAGAAACAGGTCATGTAGGTGAATCCAGGAAAACATGTGCGGTAAGGAAGAGGCCATGAAGGAGTCAGAGCAGCAGAGGTTTGGTCAAGGTGACAGACTAGGAAAATGCTGTGTACAGCAGAAGACTGGCAGGATACGAGCACAGTAGCTTGAATTTGTCAAGGGATGTTGCAAAACTGCTAAGTGAGGAGAGTCTGGGCAGGAGATTTGGCTGTTTGAATGGCTAGAAAAAGCCCTTCGGGATGATGCATGAAAAAGAATCTTCTAGATTAAGACATGACCTAAATATACAGACCTAGCAAGGAGATTCCATAGCAAAACCCTTCTCCAGTTTGTTTCTGGTTTTAGGCTTCAATAAGAGGCAGGATGAAAGTGTTGTCCTGAGCAATCAAAGGAAGAACTAGAAGGGAGTGCTTTAGGGGAAAGATTTAAGAGCTCGGTTTTAGCTGTGCAGATCTGTCAGCTAAACATCGACAAGGTATCGGAGCTAGAGGTCGACATTTTAGTCTAAATGGAAAAGCAGGTAGAGAGTAAGAGCTCTGAACTGTCAGCACTGATTGCTGAATGAGTATGAATGGTGTCACAGAGAAGGGGAAGAAATTGAAGTTGGGGAAAAAAGGTTTCCCCAGAAAACCAGAATGGAGGGAATGAGGCAGAAGGACATGCTAGAAAAGTGATTAGGGAAATCATAGCAAAATGGCAGGAGAAGTCACAGGAGCCAAGAGAAACACCAGATTTCCAGGCATGTGATTAAATGCATCGAAGGCAGCTGATAGGTCAGAGCAGATGAAGTTGAGAAGCAAGTTCAGTAGAAAGAAAGCCTAGGGAGGGACTGCAGAGCTTTGAGACAAAAGGGAGAAGAGATGGGGTGGTGCTTGTAGAAGCTGATGGGGTAAGAAGGAGAATCAGAAGCATGCTTATACTGTGAGAGAGAGAAGCTAACCTTCAACAGATAAAACACTAGCACAGGAAAAAATACATTCATAATGAAAGCTGAACTAACTAGTTTTAACATATAGTTTACTCAGAAAAAGTAAGGTATATGCTAAGGTAGTAACATTCATTATATCTGTCAATATCATGTAAAATATACAAGCTTTTCTTCAGGTCTGCATGTAAATCCACATATACTGCCCTTTATTTACAAGCTGTTGGTGAAGCAGTCACTAGCTGCTTGAATTTGTGTGATATTTATAAATTTTTTGGTGACAGATTCCTCTAGTGAAGTTTCAGCCTATACATTGTACAGAAAGTCAGTGCTACAGATGCTGTTCATCCATAACATGCAAGTGCCAGTCCTTAGCAGGAGGATCTCCAGGGATCTCCCAAAGATTCAGAGTAGCTTTGCCAACTCAAAAGGCATTGTTCCCTTTGAATCAGGATTGAACAAATGCCCTTTAATGATACTAAGCTTCACTGCGATCTGGAAATGCTATTTTTCAGATGGTCGGCGAGAACAGAGTCCTGAACTCTTACTTTTCACTACCTCAGGAGATCAAATTTTTTATGAGAATTTCATTAATTTCACAAATTTCCTGTATGTAAGCCTGAATCCTAATTTTGTGGCTAGACCTTTCCTTTAAACAGCATGCTGAAATTCCACGTGCCAAGCAATTCCAGATTTCATCTTATTTGGAAATCTCAGTGATACTTCTCACTTCAGTGAGTTCCATCCATCATTCCCTCTATAGATTCTTACGCTTGCTTAATTTGCTTTGCCTACCTTTATTTAACAGAACTAAGGTCGTGCTGTGGGGGAAAGGATAGTCCGTTGCATGCTACCCAAGTGCCTGCCTTGCTGCATAGCCCAGCTGGACAGACCCCTAGCTGGAAGAATCTAATATTGCAGTCAATTCAAATAATACCAAGATAATAAAGAGAAACAAACAGATAAAGTAAAATAGCCTTGTCAATAACTATATTAAACTTGATTTGCCCAAAAAGAAAAGCAGATCATTAAAAATGAGTAAAGAGTACAAGCCAACATCTGATAATGACCATTATGTTACCGTTTACGCTGCACATTTCTGTGGTTGTGACAAAACTATTGCTATTGCATCATTTAAATGTACAAATGCAATATATATTAGCCAAACGTTTCCTGAGTGTTTGTGAGTTTTGATGTGTATGCTTGACTTGCATTTTTGTGTTTTGATACAGCAGTTGTCTCCTCCCAGGGTGGAGAGCGTGAATCCTTCAAGGCACTGTTGGGGTTTAGCGCTGGTCGGCAGCTGAGCACCACTCAGCTACTCACTTGCTCACTCCCCAGTGGGATGGGGAAGAGAATCAGAAGGGGAAAAATGAGAAAACTCGTGGGCTGGGATAAAGACAGTTTAACAGGCAAAGCAAACATTGCACGCACAAGCAAAGCGAAATAAAGTATTCATTCACTGCTTCCCATCGGCAGCTTAGCCATCTCCAGGAAAGCAGGACTCCATCACACGTAACAGTTACTTGGCAAGATAAACGCCACCACTCCAAACATCCGCCCGCTTCCTCCTGCTCTCCCCCAGCTCTTATTACTGAGCATGGCACCGTGTGCCGTGGGCCAGCCCGCTGGCTGGCCAGGCGGCGAGAGACGCGAGGGCTGGGGCACGCTGTAAGCACTCCACAGCAGTCGCTGGAACATGAGGCTGCTGTCAGCGCGGGTTTGGTCACAGATCCAAAACACAGCACCATATGAGCTGCTATGCAGGAAGTTAACTCCATCCCAGCCAAAACGAGTACAACCAGTAAACTAGCACTGTAGGGTCAAAAATTGTACTTATTTGAGAGGAGCCAGATCAAACTTAGATATGTGTTTTGCTAATATTATTCGTACTGAGATTTATAACAAAGATGAATATTTGCAATTTGCTAATATCCAAGCAAAACTGGAGGAAAGTGACCCATTGCCTACATCTAATGTTATCTTTGCTCCTGATCTCTGTTTTTCAGAACTTATTTTCTACCTTTATATTATCAGAGTACTCATCTAGAATGGGTAAAATTATTCAAGTTGTGCCAGCTTCACTTTACTTAAAAAAAAAAAGTTAGTCCACATAAGATTTATATTTCTGTAGCAACATTAGTATGATATGCCAGCTCTTTTATTCCCTGAGATATACGCAAACTGTAAGGCACTATAATCGTGTCATTTTAAAAAAGATATTGTTTGTTGCCTCTTCGCTTGTCAGTGTGTGTGCACGCAAGTGAGTGACTCGCTGGCATTTTAGTTGTACCCTTGCATTAACATAAATGATCAAGGTATCAAATGGGGAGAATCAGGTCCTGGCTCGAGATTTACACTCAGACCTCTGCACTACATTCCCTGAATTGCACTACCAAGGTCTCTAACTGCCCCAGGTGACATTTTGGGGTTTCCTCTTCGAGATCTCTGTCTTCACAAATAATTGCTTCTGAACCTGGATAATTTGTCTTTAATTACTGAAAAATGTGCATGCACTCAACCAGTAATCTGAAAAGCCAAAAAGTTAAAAGATACTGTGATCTGTGTAGTAATAATCACACGCATTTCCCGTCATCTAGGTCTGTAAGAACTCCCGACATTTGAAGCTGTCCTACCGAGTTGCCATGGCAACAAGAAAAAAGAAAACGTCAGATCTGAAGATTGCAGTTTACAGTTACTGTTCTTCACTACTAGGCCTCAGTTGCTCCAGATTCAGTTTAATTTGCAACCTCTCCTAATCTGTCTGACTGTACATTGGTGTTTGACGGCCTCTACCCTGACTTCCGTTTATTAATGGATTCCTCTTGCAAGACGCAAGGTTTATGCGAATTTTCTCTGAATGTTAAAAGACCATGACATCTAAACTGGACCTTGGGGGAGCAGAAAACAGATTGACTCCATTTTTTTCTATCTGTAGACTTGTTGCTATTCAACTGTTCAGAAAATATTTTGTCTGTGGGTTAGTATTTGTATATGTATGAGTGTATGTATATATATATATTTATATAGAGAGAAGAGTTATACGACAGGTTTAGCTTTTATAACATATTCATCTGAAGTGTGCAAGGGACAAAGCAGAATAATACAGCCACAGATGAATTGTAACTATTCTACCATGGCTAAACCTAGTGTATTAGCTGTTTATAGTGTGGCCAGGAGGAGAGAGCCTATCGCAGTCGTACCGTGACAACAGCCACTTTGTTGACACCAAATAAAGCAGGCCCAGGGCTCTGCAGTGTCACTTCTTGTACCTCAGGTTCAGCAAACAAGAAATGGGAGGCTCTGCAAAGCTCTGCTTTGGGAGAAAGCGGGAAGCAGCCAGCTGCGACCGGCACTGGACGGGTCACGATTTACCGTGATGGGAGTGCTGGGCCTGCTATTAAAGGGGCTTAAGTCAGCTGCCTTTGTGTTCCTGCAGATAATTATTTGCCAGGGCAGTTTACAAAATTTATGCCTTTCATCAGCTCTGCAGACTCAGTTAAGTAGGTAGCTGTCTGCATACGAGAAGCTGATTAGAACAGCAAAAGCAAAGTATTTCTCAGAAGCACTGGTCTCTCTCTCAGCCTCTATGCAGCTGTTGTTACATATACAAGTGCAAGGAGGAAAACAGATGCCCTATTCTATAAATATATTCACACACACTTATATATAGTTTTGAATATATATATACATACATACACACGTACGCACAGTTTCCAGTTAAGAGTAACAAGAGCATTTTTTTGTGTGTGTAAACTTACCACACTTGTTTGCAGAGATGGGAAAAAAGGGTGTTCGTTATATATGAATATGAATCCTTTTTTATTCTGTGAGCATGTAAGGTTAAAAAAACCCTGTTAACTGTATCAAGATATGATCATCTTGTTAATAAACTGTAAATGATCCATCAAAGCTCACACCAAATTTTTATAAAATTAACACAAAAAGTATACTAGTGACAGACTGTGGCTTTTATTAGAGCTTGCCGGTAACTAGGGTAAGGTAAGTGTCTTAGAATATTTTAATAAACTTGCTTATTTAAAGTTTAAACAAGAAAGCTTCCTTATGCAATAGAATCTTGCAGCTGCATTCTTTAGTTAGCCTTTTTACAGTACTTATGAGTCATACTGTATGTTGTCTTTACTACAGTGAGAGTATGAGCATATTTTCCACACCACGTATATGTTTCAATAGTAAAGCTTTTTGGAAGCATTATAAAGTCCAAACATACATTAAGTTTTCCATAATGCTACACTAAATATTAAATGTGTGTTGGTGGTTAAAATTGCTGTACAATAGCTTTTCTCTGACTTCCTGTATTGTACCAAATATGAAACAGGTCTTTTTTTGTTTTAATCAAAAGGAGTAATAACTGCGACAGAGGAAAAATTTGTGTTGTGAACTTTCCTGGTATTGTAGATAAGATACAAGCTGCCTTCTAACAGGAACCTATTTTTCTTTTCCATCTTAACTCCTGCAGTCCCGACCAAGTAAAATCTCACACTGACCTTGTTTCTCTTGCAGCACGCTCCGGGTGTTTCAGTTACCGGAGTGGTACTCTGAGGTTAGTGGGAATTTCTGTTGAGCAAGGGCTTCAGGAGTGGGCTGTTAGCAAGGAATGTTAGGGCAGATTTCAGCGGGAAAGTGCCTGATCTCAAACATTAACATGGGTACGCTTCCAGTTCTCTTTCTCTGCCCATGCCTTGTAATAACCATATACTGCTGCTTTATCATCAACAATCGTGTCTTTTAAAAAAAAATTAATTTTCAGGCACATTTTTCAAAAAGAAAATATCAACAAATGCATAGCACCACTGGAATTTCAACATGCGTATTTAACAAATGCATCCAAATACACCCAAAGATAAACTGCACCCTGTGCTTTGATCTACAAAACCTCTATCTTGAATAAAAGAAATTATAATATCCTCCCCCACAAGTACTCTTTTTCTACTCACTTTCTGCCTCTCTCTATCCAGCAAACCCCACCTCTGGACAGACACCCGTTGACATTAGTGTCAGTTCTATCAAGCACCAGATAAAGCTACCCTTTTCCCATTTAAACCAAGGCTCACATAGCATCTGGTAGAATGTTCCATGGGCATCCAACATGAGGAAACAAAAAATCTCTTCTGCCTGGAAGTATGCTAATAATGGGAAGACTCTTTCTGCCACTTTGTGTCCGAGGACAAGAGATCTTTCTTCCTGGATAATACTGCAACATTTAGACATGTAGAGAGGTCAGTATCGCAGCTGAAACTCTGAAGCAAGATGCATCAAAGCCTTCATTCACCATTACCACTTTATTTCTGCAGCTAGATTAAAGCCTCTCAGCCTTTATGTGTGCATCTAGGCTTCAGACAGAGCTAATCACCAGACTACCTAAACATGCAAAGAGACGATGAAGCTGCCATGTTAATGTTTCTCCCTCTCTACCTGGGAACAAACCCCATTTAACAAGAGATTGTGGCACTTCCTGTAGTGTTATACAAGTGAGGAACCGTATTAGAATCTGAGTTTTCCTACCTGAATATGATTGTTGGCTCCAGCTGAAAAACTGATGCACATTTCCTGAAACAAAGGAGCAACAATAATTTATTATTTTTTCCACAATATCATGAAAAGGTAGAGCGTTACAAAACTGGTTGTCATTTTTTCATAGTTAATTACGTGTAACATTTGTTCAGCCAAGCTTGCTGTTTTTATAACATAGCACTTATTTCTACCCAGCTATTTTGGTCACTACAACACTTATTTCAGTCTATGTTTGTAGGCATACAATGCTGTCTAGAGTCCGAAAAGCACTAAACTTGTTGATTTTCATTTTGTAACATGCATAAAAATTCTTGTGCAAAAATCATTTCACTTGAAAAGAGTATCTGTGGTTAAAACACAAATTGGGTATAGCAGTTAATAACTGAGAGGAGTTTATTAGCAAGACGAAGGTCTCATTTGGACTGTACTTGCTAATTGAACCCTTGTCTGTACACCTCGTGTGATTTTACAATATGCCTTTTTGCATTTATTAATGTGCATTTTGTTCAGTAACTGTAGGTGTGAAAATGAAAACAAAGGAAACGAGCTGAATTTCCTGCTGGGTATCGAGGAAAATTGGTAGGGGTGGAACACTGGCTAAGACACTTTCTAAGCCCTGTTCTCATCATGTTTACACTGGTGTAAATCAAAGAGCAACTCTGTTACTGGAATTATTTAAGATTCAGTTAATCATATTTAGATGAAGTTCTTCATCTAAACCTCCCCACATATTGCTTTTACTCGTCTGCTGTGAACAGTAAAGCAACAGTATTTGTCACAAGATCAATGAGTGCTTCTGTATTATCAAGTCTGTCTTTTGTGACATACAGAGAAAGGTATAGCTTAGCTGCCTCCCACAGATGACTCCATTTCTTCACCGACCGCTTTCACCTGTCTCCAAGGCACTCCATGTAATTTGGTTTAGCCTGTATTTGAAATGGCTGTGGGCTCTAATCAAATAATTCACCCTGATCTCTTGCATATTTATTTAAGTTAGGTACCACTATAATACAATCCTAATTTGTAAATTATGGATTTACAATCAGTTTGTAGGGCCCTAGCAACAGGACAGACATACGTTATATTAACAACTTCTACATCATTGGTCTCTCCTTTGAAAAGACCTCCTGTCTGAAATACTGACAAAGCTGCCAATACGCTCAGCCACTTGAAACAGAGCAGAATTTTGTACACAAATAATTTTACATCATTGGTTGTCTAAAGGCTAAGTTTCTTTCTGAATGGGTTTAGTAATGTCTTATTTAATTTAAAAAAACCCACAAGATAAATTATATTAAAGTCACATCAGCTTGAGAACACTAAGTCTAAGGCAAAACTCTGATCCTGTCTTCTCTTTATTGCATCTCTAGAAACTCTGTTATTGGAGAGATACACTGCCTAATGCTCACAGAAAGATAACTAAAATAGTAATTCTTTTTTTTCAATTAACTATAATCTTTCAAATTAACATGCAAAGTACGTTAGTAATTATCATGATAACTGTATAGCAGACTATTTTACTATGTAAAACACATAACCCATTGATGACATTGTTCTCTTGCCTCACATCAAGATACACTAGCTGATTTATATTTGTCCAGATGAGATGGATACACTCATACACTCTCAGTGGAAAGTTACGAGTTGCACAATTGCTATGTGTGTGTATATATGTAGATATATAGAGATATACACATACATATATAAATATATATATAAAATATATGCAGATGGAGGGAGACTAATACAACATAGGGTCTTGGAATAAGCAGTTTAATTCCATGAATTATGGACGAATACATGAGTTAAGGGACAGCACGAGTTATGTATGCCAAAGCAGTCTGATTTAAAGAAAAGAAAAAAGGCAAAATACCACAAGCTAATAACCAGGTTTATCCACCTCTAACGCTGCATTTATTCTACCTTTAGCTGTCTCCTCTTAACGCAGTTATACCATGTGACGATATGCATAATTGTTAACTGACTCATTTTTAGTTGTCTACGGATCAGCAGGGTCACCAGTAGTGGAAAGGGAAGGGTTTATAGCCAGAATCCTGCATTACTGTGCTTTCAGTGGGACAGCTATTGGGGAAAGTTCCATTCACCCTTTGAACATTACACTCCTCCTCTGCATCAGCCAGCAGCTGTATTCGATAGCTTGGGGTTAAAACGACTGTGGTCTAAAGCCAGACTCTGTGTACGCAGACTCATACACACCCTGCCTGGGGCTATAGAGTAGGAGCAGGTCTTATGGACTGCGGTGGTGAATTCTGTACAAACTGTGTTGTTACTCCCATGTCAGGCAGAACACTCCTGTAAAATCATATTTGCCCCATAACAAACTCTGTCTCTAAGTTACCGCCAAGATAATTT